GGGACGAGTACTCTGAAGTACATACTGTATGTGTTTCTCATTTGGGAAAAGTACTCTAAAGTACATACTGTATGCGTTTCTCATTTGGGACGAGTACTCTGAAGTACATACTGCATGCGTTTCTCATTTGGGACGAGTACTCTGAATTACATATCACCACAGCTGCCATCTAGCAGCGAGTGCACGTTTTGTTTAACGGCAACAACAAACAAGAAGTCGAGAAATATTCGATTTAAAACATAAATCATTTTTAATGTTCGCTTCCTGTTTGCCACAAACTGAAGGTGTGAGTGTAAACATGAAGCCTGAGCTGGGGGGGGAGTGTTTGAGCTGTCTACAAAGTTTTGTCCTTCTCTTGGACGAGTCTGTCTGCCAGGTTTGGAGTTTTGGTACAACTTGGTTCTATTTATTTGTTATTTTAAAAAGTGTTTGCTCATCTACATTTGAACAAGTTGTTGAAGTGAAGACGAGATTCTCAGAAATGGGCCGAGCAGAACACGACGTCACGGCTCGCTGCAGACGAGCTTGTTGGTTCAGAACAGACAGAAAACCATCTCATGATCTGCTGAAACAACGATGGGCGCTGTACGGCAGGCAGTTGTGTCACATATCTGCAGCAGGCCTTCTGTGTTTGTAAACATCACCAGGATGGTTCACACACGACACACCATCTGAACGAGAAGTTAGATGGAAATGTTTCTAATTTATTTATATAATCATTGATGTTATTGTTTTGTTTGTTTACAGTCCAAGTCAACAGAACTAACAAACATTGTTTGTTTATTACCCAAAGAGATGCCTTCCTGGAGCTGATCAAACTTTTAGTTGGAAACAAGAAGGACAGTGACTTGTATTTTCCTACCTTCTCCTACAGACCTGAAACAGGTCCTCTGTTGTTGTTGTCTGCTTAACAAAACAACAACAACAACAAGCACGTGTCATTTTGCTGTTGTACTGATCCTGCACCAAACTGTGACTGAGCATACCGTTACACCCCCAGTGAGCAGCTGACTTCATGCATGTCCTGACAGTAGAAAGTGCTGGAAGCTGCAGGCTAACGCTAACAGAAGGGCGTGGCAGGTGAAAACTGTGACTCAACTGTTTCATTAGCGGCCACTGGCGGCGTGGCCCAGTCATTTATGCTACAAGAAAAAGGTTCAACTTCCTGGAAGTGGGGCTAAGACAGAGATGGGGTGGAGTATTTGACCACCAGTTAAGGACAGTACTGCACTTTGAAGCTACGCTACATCAGATAAATAGAGGAACTGCAACAGCAGAGGTAGACAGACGTGGAGCAGCACCTACGTACAGATTGACCTTGCGGGTCAGGTGCCAGGCTGACCGTGGCCAGGCCTTTGGGCATGTGCACTGTGCGTCCATGGTTTACACCGGCTGCTCAAAATGTCAGCGCGGCGCTCCTTTCAAAACCAAGCACACACTGAGCTCTGCCACCACCTGTGACAGGGAGAGCAAGACACACAGTGTAGGACACAGAACCTGAGATCTACCACCACGTTCACAGCCTGCTCTACAACCACGAACAAACTTCTGTCCACAAACATGATGGCCTTAAGGGCTGTCACACACATCAGTCCACGTCAGTTACATGTGCACATAATATTTTACTTTAACTCTCTTGTTCTGAAACGTTTCCTGCAGTTACAAAGTCTGATCGTGTCCCTGCAACGTTAAAGTATTTAAACTTGTTGACCGGAGGTTCTTATGAGCCTCTCTCTTAAAACATGTGAAGTGTTTTTCACAGCCGAACACAAACTAGATGCAGATAAACGTGGACGCTGAGCTGCGTTCTTACAGGAAAGGTGGACTCTTACAATCTGAAGGCTGATTGAGCTTCATTGCACAAAACGTTCTAACAAACTTCACAAGTCAAAGAAAACTTCAACACTTACTGCTTTGCCTGCACCGACGGAGCACAAGACGGAGGAGTCGGGGGAGAAGGCGCTGCAGTAGACCCAGTTCTGATGTCCTCGTAAAACCTTCACCATGTTTCCTGCAGGACACACAGGCTGGAGTTAAACTACACGAGCCGCTCAGACAGTAAAATAAACTCATGCCACACTCTGGTCTTGTTCAGTAAACGACAAAAAGACATTTAACTTCCAGTTGAACGACCGTTGCCTCTGACAGCACAGGGCTGGTGTAAATCAGCAGCCTCCAGATACCAATCACAGTGATTGATCACGATGTGCTGGCAGTTTGTTCATCGTTATATTATTCATCTTCCAGCTGCTCGTGCTGGCGTCCTCTGAAAGCCACCAGAAGATTGTTCCAAAGGTTCTTTCAATATACGTCAAGCCTTTCTCACAACTTGGAAAACAACAAAGGCTCACTTTTGATTACATTTTATTTAGGTTGATATAAATGGAAGGTTTTATTAGAAGAAATTCAGGAAGTCACAATTAAACATTCAAACTAGCCGGTAACATTCATTTTAACTACCGTATTTTCCTCCGTACGCGCCGCACCGCCATTTAAATCACATCAGTCCATATTTGTTTAATAAAGTAGAAAAATCCATAAATATGTTGCTTCGTCATGCGCGTCGCATCTATTACACGTCACTGCTGACAACCTGGAAATGTGGACCGGTGTTGTGCCAAAAACCAATGGGCCACCAAATGGCGGCCGCAGCAGCGTGCACGGGAGGACTTTAACAAGAATTTAACTAAACTAACACTTAAACATAATTATTTGTTTGCTCGAAATTATATTAAGAGTGTGTATCAGTCTAACATTTGCTTAATTAATGTACTTTAATGGTCAAATCAGCTGCATTTATCAAATAGTTCGCTGCCTCGGTGCTCCATGAACGATAATTGAGCAGTACCACGTTCAGCCACTTGATGGCAGCGGAGGAATATGAGAGAAGAGAAAAAGGAGAGCACGGCTCGTTTCTCTGAAAATTAACAATAACTGCACCGTAACAATTATTTCTTCCTTGAAATTATAGCAAAGGTGTGTCTCAGTCGAACACTTGCTTAATAAATGTACTTTAATGGTCAAATCAGCTGCATGTCGCCGGGGCAGTGCACCTGGACTGACGGTCTGTCCAAACAGCAAGCAGAACAAAGGTGGGGCTGTATGGCAGGCCGACTGAGTCATTAATAGCTGGTGAAGATTCTCAGTCATCCAGGACACGGTCAATTCAAAAAAGTTTAAAGTATAATAAATAAAGTCCAGTTGTTTTTGTCTTGAACTTTTTTGAATTTGTCATTATAACCACGTTTTCCTATTACATGATACAACAGCATGCCATACATCTATTACTACTCCGCTGCCTTCAAGTGGCTGAACGTGGTGCTGCTCAATTGTTTTTTTCAGTCACTGAATGAAAACAGTCATATCTTAAACTATGATTTATAAATATGAAAAAATAATCCATAAATATGTCACTTCGGCCTGTAAGTCACAGGACGTGTAAATTATGCAAAAACTGCGACTTACACAAAGAAAAATACGGTAATCACTGCTGCTTCTAGAAAAATAAGTGAAAAAGGACGCACAACTTCACAACATAACTTTTATTCTACACATTATTGAAAACTTAACGAGTTGTGTAACATTTAAGACTCGAGCAGAGGGACAATGGATAATTTAGTAAAGGTTGCAGATGAAGTCTTTGACTGCAGTCCACCATTTAAATCTTGAACAAGGACGAAAGCATTCTCCTGAACAAGAAATCTTCATAAAGGATGACGTCATGTGGACCTTCAGCACCGATACATGGTACAAACCGGATGAAACGTTAGCTGTAGTTACCGTCATCCTTGAGGTCCCACACTCGGAGGGTCTTATCTCTGGAAGCAGACACCAACATGAGGCTACCGTCGGGAGCAAAGGTCAAATCTCTCACAACATCAGTGTGGTCCATCAGATTCAGCAGGAGTTTTCCTGGAGCAGGTCGGAAGAGCAGACGGATCAAATGGAAATCTAACATGCAACTAACACACATGACAGTCATCACATGTCACGCCAGTCTTTTCTAAAAGGATCTGAGCAAAGTTAAGCAGTAAATGAAGAAGTGGACGATCAAGTTGAACGTTGTCAAAGAACATCCAAATATTTGTTCTTCTCACAGCCTCTCTCAGTTCGAACCAGTAAAGCAGCAGCAAGCGCGTCCTTACCAGTGTACACATCCCAGATCTTGATGCGACCGTTGTTCAGACCCGTTGCCAGCAGCAGCTGGTCCTGGCCAAACTTGAACCGGTGCCATTCGATGTTGACACAGCGACTCTGTTTTTCTGGCACAGAGGAACCGAAGGCCAAGCCCCACACGATGTCACCGCAGTCGATCGTGTGTTCACGGGGCTCCCCAGAACCTGGAGCAGTGAGGCTGCCATCGCTGCTTTGACGGGACAAACGCTGGGGGCTCGAGGGGTTGGTGCTTTCTCCACCATGACCCACTGAACTGAAGAAACAAAGGGAAAGGCAGAGGTTGTAACAAGGACAAAACATTTTTAAATAAATTACAGAACTTAATTTAGCCTAAAAACACTGCCTTTAAATATTAACCCTGTTTTGTTTTACTGTCCAAGAAAATGAAGAGTGAGAAAGAGCCTGAGAAACAGAAAAGACCAACACTTGTTTATTTCATGGTCAGTCGGCCCTCGGCATTATTCTTTAGTAGAAGAAGCTGGTACAGAGAAAGTAGCCTGTTACACTCAGTAAGCTGTGCTGGGACTTTACACAACTTTAAGGCTCGGCACGGTTCTGCAGCCAGAGAAGCCGTTAGAGCTCATCTGTCAAGCATGAAACTAGGCCTGTCGCGATTAACAAGAAATTAATTACCTGCACGATTAATTAAAAATGATCAACCTCATTTATCGGCTTTATCGTTTCTTCGTGTCTCTCTCTTTCTACTGAAGACACTGGATGACAAAAGGTTAAACTCCGGTTCTTCACTGACCCCTCCATTTCCCTTTGCTTTATTTTAACCGTCCAAAATTTAGTTTTTTTCATCGTTAAAAGCAGCTAAGCTACGAGCTAAGCTACGAGCTAAGCTACAACTAAGCTACGAGCTAAGCTACGAGCTAAGCTAACGGGCCGACCTCAGGGAAAAAACCTCCGTCTTGTCAAAGCTCCAAAATTCAGTTGAAACTCGTGCCTTTGTGTAAAAAATTGTTTTTCTCTGCAACAAGAAGCTGAGAACTTATTTACTGATTTTTTTTTAAAAGCTTTGTGTGAAAAATACTAAAGAGCTCAAATCACATCGAGCGTCCGACATTTTGAGAACTAAAAAAAGTAAGGAGAGACAGCCCATGTCACGTCAAGGGGCCTCCCTCCCATTTTTCTTACAGAGACACGC